CCGCGCAGCCTGCTTACGGTGCATGGACTGTGGCCGCTGCGACTTCTACTGCAACAAGCCCACATTCGGGGGCAGCAACAAGAAGCGCCAGAAGTGCCATTGGCGCCAGTGCCTGCAGTTTGCCATGAAGCGGCTGCTGCCCAGTGTCTGGTCAGAGGCTGAGGATGGGGCAGGATCACCCCCACCTTATGGTCGTTGAAAGAGGCCCAGCTCTGCCCGATGGCACCATCTTGGCCCTACCTTGAAGCCCAGCTTGGCTACTCGCACAGCCCAACCAGACCATACCCAGGCTCCAAAGAAGCAGGCAGGAAGCAGGTGGTGGCTTTGTGCTGTCCCCAGGCCCTGTTGCAGCTTCCACATAAGCCCTGTTGCAGGAGTCCCAGTGCTCTGACCTGAGTTGGGTTGTGGCCTTACCCGAGGTGAAGCGAGAGAAGGCAGATACCCAGGACGAGTGGACACCAGACAGCTGTCCTGATTTCTCCTGTATTGGTGCCTGTCTGCCCTAGCAAGGCAGTACACCCAGGCCTACCATCTGTGAAGCAAGAGCCACCCAACCCCTGAGGAGAACACGGAGGAGAACAAGGATGGATGTGTCTCCCAATTGGCCCCAGAGGAGGAGGCAGGAGGGGCTGGCATACCCGTGATCACGGAGATTTTCAGCCTGGGTGGAACGCACTTCCGAGACACAACGGTCTGGTTGCCAAGGTATGGCCTACACAGTGAGGGGTGGGGAAGGAGTGGGTGTCAGACAGATGTGGGCCCTGAGTTTTGAAAGTATATCCAGCAGTTTGGCATGGTGTGGTGGAAGGTAAAGGCCCACACGTACTATGCTGATCACAATCAATGAGGGACATGTGTGTGTAGGACCCTAGAGGTTTCTACTGAGATCTACCCCAACAGCATTCTAAGTTAGGACTCTCCTTTGTGGGTAGGAGGAAGACTTGACACTCTATGATGAGATTTGAAAGAGAAAGATAAGGAGTCTGGTCCCTATTTTCCTAAGAAATTTTTATAGGGGTCAGCTTTAATGCATAAATTCTTATTCATAGAATAATCATTTGGTGTCTTGAAAGCCTTTCGAGTCTCCAGGAGACCTCTGGGTGGGCGGTTGTCTGACATTGAGAAATGTATATCAGAGAAGTAAGTAGTGCTGGGCTTGTCTGTGCAGCGGGATGGGCAGGATATATGGGTTCTGAGCTGGCTTTGTGAGCTGGGTTCACACATTGTATGATCTCTGGTTGCCCTGTACTCCTGGAGCAGCTTCTGTGGAAGGACTTGGTCTGGATCTCTCGAGCCTTTCCTGAGCCTATTGATGTTAGGAAATTCAGCTGTCATGCAGAACTGTCCCTGTAGGCCTGGCATAGGTCAAAGGGTAGATGCCTGTAAGGACTAGGATGATGGGAGGACAGGGGCATGCTGCTTCCTGCAGAATGTTGACAGAACCTGCATAGAGCCCCAGACACTGGGAATATAAACTATTGGCCTAAGCACGTGGATTCCTTTACTCCTACAAACCAGCTCACCAGGCTAGAAACCCTTCCATCTATACTTGGTCAATTACAGAAGTACTGACTGAATTCCTGCTGGGTGCACAACATTGAGGGCTATGAGCCCTGCAAACTTACCCATCAGGAGACACATCCTAATACCTACCTTCAGGGAATTTATAACCTGTGGACAAACTGTCTATAAAGGTAGTTTTTAGAACATATAAAAAAGATAAAGGATAATTAAGGGGAAATGGATGGAGGACACAAAATAGTAAATGATTTTGTAATGCTGCATTTCACACATAGCAAACCTCATTTAACATACAGACCTGTTCCCTCTTCTCTAGGTCCAAAGAACTTAAAAAAACGAGCTAGAAAGAATTAGACTGGAGGCTTCTACAGACCATAGGATTCAGGGTGATATTTGCAGACTGGCTTTATGAGAGACAACACTGATCTACTAGGGGCTGGACCCTAGAATGGTTTCCAGGGCTTGTGTGTGAATCAACCCTAGGAGGAAGAATCTACCACCAAACCCTAGGAGCAGGCCTAACAGTACTTTGAGCTTCTCTTCTAGAAGTAAATGGGAAAGGAAGAGAAAGAGTAGAAAGTTGGTATATCTTCTCTTTCCCAAGAGCTTGAGTGTGATAAGAAGCTGGATTTTAAGGGTGAGGGAGCTGAGATGGGGAAAGGCAATATAATTAAACCCACTAGAAAACAACCTAAATAAGCCATCTTCATGAATAATACTAGTGGCTTCTGGATGAGACCTGACAGTGTCTTTACACACTTCCTCAGGGAAACAGCAGTTGAAAAGGAATCGAATAAATGAGGAAAGGAAAAAAAATAAGATAAAATAACAACAAAAAAGATATTTTTGATATATATTTTTAAATGCATTTCTAAATATATGTTCTTATCTACCTGAAATATTATGTTTATATATTTTATAATTATATATGAAATATATAACAATTATGTCATCAATATATAATAAAATATATTTCATTATGTATTTCATATATAAGATTTTTAAAGCATCAATTGAATGCTAGTCTTTTACAATTTAATTTTCTACTGCATAGCAAGATAAGACAAAGAAAGATTAAAAAACAATTCGTTAGGGGTTAAATTTATTTATAATAGAAACAAATAAATGTATATATTTCACTATACATTTATAATGGTGTATGTGTGTATGTGTGTGTGTGCATATATATTTCTCTTGGCCTACTGGCTACACCAGTTTTTGTCATTTTATTTTTTTCCTTTCATCCTAGTATTTGTAAATGCAGTTTGTAGCAAAAGTGCACAGGTAACAAAGACTGATTTCATTACCACTCCTTTCCAAATCCTAGTTTTTTATAGTGACGTGTAGCAATCAGGGCTAATTTTATACAATCATCACTTCCATTTATAAGCAGAAACTAAGAAGAGTTTTCCTTCCATGGAAACAATTTTAGAATTGATTGATGGCTCCCAGAACCTCTAACAATAACTTATTTAACCCGTAACATACCTGAGCCGTTAAGGATATAATAGGAGAAAACATAGATGGAAGGAACAGTTCCCTGAAAAAAGCCATTAATTAAGAGTTCAAATTTTGAGCCATGTGATACCTCCACAAGAGGAGAGGCAGTAGGTGGAATCAGCATTTTGACCACAGATAACCTGCTTGAGAAGTTTACTTAGCTATAAAATACAGGCACTGATATTATTAGGTTGGTGCAAAAGTAATTGCAGTTTTTACCTTTGAAAGTAATGGCAAAAAACACAATTTCTTTTGCACCAATCTAATATCTATATTATAGTGCTCATGTGGAAAAATACATGTAAAGATACCACCAGGGTTGGTGTTGAATGAGCATGAGCTATTACCGTCATCATGATTTAATGAGCATGACCTATTACCATCAGTTTGCCCCTTCTGCATTGGCTGGGAAGCTGGAGATAAGATTCATGCAGGAGTGGATGAATGTGTGATTCACAGTCATTCTGAATGTGAAGTTAGTTTGGTAAGTTCCTTCATGACTAGGCGTATGTAGGTGTGGGTGTTGCTATGACAATAAAATTTGGCCAAAGATAAGGGATTTGGGACTTTATGTTAGAAAGAAAAGAACATTGCACTTGGAGCCAGGAAATTTAGACCTGAGTTCTGATGCATGAATAATTCTCTGTAACCTTTGATTCAACAACTTCATTTAAAAATAAGTCAAATGATATCCAAACAAAAACCATGGTAGATGTGATTTTCAAATTATGCTTGTAAAAATTGTGTAGTGCTTTAAAGCACTGTAGATATACAGTAGTCTACCATTACTATTATTATTGTTATAAGTAGTAATCAAGATTATATTTTGGTCCAGGAACAGTTCCTCAATCACCCTATTATTTTCTTTACAGAGGGTCAAGGAACAAACATGTCTGTTTTCCTTTGAACTATCGTGACCCAGATGATCGAATTAACTTTCTTCTTAATGTATACATGAGAATCTTACAATATTTAACCAACTCTTTAGTTTCTATTGCAAATATAGCCCATTCCCCAGCTTCTTTGCCGAATTTCTCCTTTCCCTCCCTCCCCTCTTTCCTTCCTTCCTTCCCTCTGTCTCCCTTCTTTCTTTCCTTTTTTTTTTTTTTTTTTTTGTAAAAAAATTTTAGGTCATTTACTGCTTTAAATAAAGAGTACCCAGTTAAAATATGGGCAAAAGTTGTAGTAAATAAGTAGATTTACAGAAAAACAGACGTGATGTTTTGCTTAGATCATTTAAAGAAGAATTCATTTCTCATAAATTGTTTTCAGAGAAAAGAGAATAGAAGAAAGCTTTATTTACATTTATAAGGACTGAGGCTTGTTTTAAAATAGTAAGATGTATCATAGTAATCATGGTTTTTAAATAAGAGTCTCTTTGGGAGGAAATTTAAGTCTATTAAGTTGAAAGCAGGATGCTGCCAGAGGAAAGACGGTTCTCAGACGGAGAGTGAGTGGTAAGGTAGGGGGAAAAGTGAGAACTACGCAACACAACCTTGTTTTATTTTCCTTTCTCTGATACTCTAGCAATTGAGAAATTCCAGAAATACATGCCCTTCTCAGCATTTCAGGGAATTTTATCTGTTATTTACCAATAATTAGAATTTTAGAATTCAGCTACCGAGGTCAGCCAATCTTGTTATTTCTGAACTTGACCAAGCATAAGAGACACTTGGGAAACTTTTTCCTGGAAATTCTGATTCAAAGTATCTAGGATGTGCCTAAGAAATTAATACTTTAAGCAAATAACTAGGTGAATCTATTGATAGAGTCATTGCAATAATACTCTCATGTTATTGCTTTGAAGCTAAAAACGCTGAGACTCATTGTAGCAAATGAATCAATTGCAAGATTCTAACTCCATAAATGAGTTAGTGCCAGACTCGTGTTAAGAACCCAGATCTCGTTTTAGAACAGAGCTCTGTTTTCTTTTAATTCAGGGTATGACTGATGTAAAAAAATAGCACGTCTTTGTACCAATTGGTATTCACCAGTCTATATCTCATAAGGAAAATACATATCAAAATATAAATTGTTTTCACCTTATGTACTGATGAAAAGTAGGACAAGCTATCCAAATACCTTTAACTGATTTTCATTTGTGGCGTGAACTAGGATTTCAGACTAGAACTTAACAAGTTTACAAGAAGTGGTTATAAACTGAAATAAGTTACTGAGGCTGCAGAATCTCTTTCCCAAGGGATAGGTTTCTTTCTTTCTCTTTTTAATGCAGTAGAACCAATAGGTAGGGGAAAAGACAAGTTGACTCTCTCCTAGAAATCTAGTTTAGCACTGTAATCTATTAATTTACTGTCTCTTTCCCTTTTCATTCCAATTTTCTTTTATTCATAACAAATGACTAATAATTACATGCACTTCAATGCGACCTATGGATGAATGCAGGGCAATAACCCAGATACAGTATCTTATTATTTTTTTCTTTTTTAAAATTTAACTTGTAAGTTGAGGAGTATGTGTGCAGGTTTGTTGTACAGATTACTGTATCACCCCACTACTAAGCCTAGTACACATGAGTTATTTTTCCTGATCTTCTTCCTGCTCCCACCCTCCACCCTCATGTAGGCCCCAGTGTCTGTTGTTCCCTTTTATGTGTACATGTGTTCTCATTATTTAGCTCCCAGTTATAAGTAAAAACATATGATATTTGGTTTTCTCTTCCTGTGTTAGCTTGAAAGGATAATGACCTCCAACTTCATCCATGTACCACATTTTCTTTATCCAATCTGTCTTTGATGAGCATTTCGGTTGATTCCATGTCTTTGTTATTGTGAATAGTGCTGCAGTGAACATACATGTGCATGTATCTTTATAATAGAATGATCTATATTTTGGGCATATATACCTAGTAATGGGATTGCCGGGTGGAATGGTATTTCTGTTTTTAGGTCTTTGAGAAATTGCAACACTATCTTACACAATGTTTGCACTAATTTACGCTTCTACCAACAGGGTTTAAGTGTTCCTTTTTCTCCACAACCTCACCAGCATCTGTTATTATTTCTCTTTTTAATAATAGCCAGTCTGACTGGTGTGAGTTGGTATCTTATTGTGATTTTGATTTGCATTTCTCTAGTCATCAGTGATGTTGAGCTTTTATTCATATTCTCATTGGCTACATATGTATCTTCTTTTGAAAAGTGTCTGTTTCTGTACTTTGCCCACTTTTAAATGTTTTTTTATTTTCTTGTAAATTTGTTTAAGCATATCAAAAAGCTTATCTATCACAGTAAAGTAGTATTTATCCCTGGGATGCAAGGTTTGTTCAACATATGCAAATCAGTAAACGTAATTCATCAAATAAACAGAACATAAGACAAAACACCACATGAATATCTCAACAGATGCAGAAAAGGCTTTTGATAAAATACAACATGCATTCATGTTAAAAACTCTCAATAAACTAGGTTTTGAAGGAATATACATCAAGATTGTAAGAGCTGTAGATGACAAACCCACATCAACATCATACCAAATATGCAAAAGCTAGAAGTATTGTCCTTGAAAACCAGCACAAGAAAAGGATGCCCTCTCTCACCACTCCTATTCAACATAGTATTGGAAGTCCTGGCCAGAGCAGTCAGTCAAGAAAAAGAAATAAAAGACATCCAAATTGGAAGAAAGGAAGTCAGTGTATTCCTGTTTACAGATGACATAATTCTGTATCTAGAAAACCCCATAGTCTCAGCCCAAGGGCTCCTTAAACCAATAAACAACTGTAGCAAAGTCTTAGGATACAAAATTAATGTCCAAAATTCACTAACATTCCTGTAGACCAACAGTGAAGCTGAGAGCCAAATCAAGAACAAAGTGCCATTCACAATTGCCAGCGAAATAAATAAATAAATAAATAACTAGGAATATAGCTAATCAGGGAGGTGAAAGATATCTACTGTGGGTCTAGATGGCCAGGGGCAGACCTATGTTATTTCTAGTTAAATAATTATAAACTTGCTTTGCTTATTGTACACTGAAGTTTATATCCTGAACTAAGCTGTATCAAATACTGGTACAGTAGAATAGAAATCAAGCAGCAACCAGAGGCCTAAGGTAAATACCATCTGAGAGCACTGTAAAACCGTGGAACATGGTGGGGTGGTTGCAGAGCAGGAAATATTGCTTTGATCCCACGAATGCCTTCTCAACATAGAGTTGCATGAAGGTCTCATAAAGAGGGCTTATGCAGTATCTATGAGAAGGGAGGCAACCTCTCCTCACAAGATCCCAGAGAGTCTTTGCAGATGGAAGCTTGAAAGGAGGAAAAGCCTTGCAGGGCAGAGATTACTGGAACGACACAGGCTCTGCCTAGGTTCTCAGAATATGGGGTAATCTTGATTGCTCTGTGTCCACAATGCTCCAGAGATAAAAGCCCCATGATTCATTGAGTGTAGTCAAACCTGGTGGCACCTTATCGGCTAAGCTTCTGATGCAAATGTACCTTGGTAGCAACCGGTGGTAGAGCTCAGTAAGTTTACATAAGAATGTCATCTGCTACTGAATACTGCAGACCACACCTCTCCCCGTTGGCTCTCTTGCCTACATTAGTCTTAAGACCTTGCCCAATAGTTTCAAGTCCTCCCCTGATCATCCCTCCCTGCTCTCCCACCCCTCAATTAACAAGTGTATACACCTAATAAAAGCACGTGGAGCCCAGAGCTCAGTGCCAACACAGTTCATCGCATGCGAGAGTGTGTTGGACCCCTAGACCCATGCTGTGAACTTCTACTCTTGTATCTTGTCTTTATTTCCTTTTCTCACTCCCTTGTCACTGCTCGGACGTGGAGTACCAGGTAGCACAGGGGTAGGCTGCTTCCCAACAGTCTACAAGGAGAACTAAAAACTATTTTAAAATTTATATGGAATCAAAAATGAACTCAAATAGTCAAGGCAATCCTAAGCAAAAAGAACAAAGCTAGAGGCATCTTGCTGACTTCAAATGATACTACAGAGATATAGTAACCAAAACAGCATGGTACTGGTACAAAAAGAGACACATAGACCAATGAAACTGAATAGAAAATCCAGAAATAGGACCGCATACCTAAAACTATCTGATCTTTGACAAACCTGACAAAAATAAAATAAAACCAATGGGGAAAGGATTTCCTGTTCAATTAATGCTGCTGGGATAACTGTCTAGCCATATGCTGAAGATCGAATCTGGACTCCATTTCTTGCACCATACACAAAAATTAACTCAAGATGGATTAAATATAAAAGGCAAAACTATAAAAACCTGAAAGATAATCTATGCAATATCATTCTGGACTTAGAAACAAGCAACAATTTCATAATGAAGAAACCAAAAGCAATTACAACAAAAGAAAAAATTGACAAATGGGATCCAATTAAACAAAAGAGCTTCTGCATAGCCAATAAAACTATCAACAGAATAAACAGCCTACAGAATGGGAGAAAATATTTGCAAACTGTGCACCTCACAAGGATCTAATAACCAGCATCTATAAAGAATCTATGCAAAACAGGTTATTTTTAACCAAGAATTATTAAGAAAATCATAAAAACCCTTTTCCGTTTACCCATTTCATAGCTCATGCTTCTTTCTTGGCCATCAGTAGTCACAAATTATTTTTTAAGAAAAAGCCAAATACACCAATAGTAAAATGAGAAACATGTATAAACAGATAATTTTCAAGAGAAAACTATAGTTGTGAAAATTCTATATTCACGATTGTCAGTAGTCAAAGATATACAGACAAATCTTTTTTACCTAGTAGATTTTTACTTTTTAAACAATAAATGATAATTCCAGAATTATAATTGGGATGCAGAAAAGAAGCTGTCATTCTTTACTGGGAGATAGTCATTTTTAAACACAGATGCAAAAACCTTCAATAAAATACTGGCAAGCCAATTGCAACAGCACATCAAAAAGCTTAGCCACCATGATCAAGTAGGATCCATCCTGGGGATGCAAGGCTGGTTCAACATACACAAGTCTATAAACATAATTCACCACGTAAACAGAACCAAAGACAAAAACCACATGATTATCTCAATTGATACAGAGAAGGCCTTTGACAAAATTCAACAGCTCTTTATGCTAAAAACCTTCTATAAACTGGGTATTGACGGAATGTATCTCAAAATAATAAAAGCTGTTTATGACAAACCAACAGCCAATATCATACTGAATGGGCAAAAACTGGAAGCAATCCCTTTGAAATCTGGCACATGCACATGAATGTTCATTGCAGCACAGTTTACAATAGCAAAGACCTGGAACCAACCCAAATGCCCGTCGATGATAGACTGGACAGGGAAAATATGGCAGGCACATATATACCATGGAGTATTATGCAGCCATCAAAAACAATGAGTTTGTGCCCTTTGTAGGGACATGGATGAACCTGGAAACCATCATTCCCAGCAAACTGACACAAGAACAGAAAATCAAATACCACATGTTCTCACTCGTAGGCGGGTGTTGAACAATGAGAACACATGGACACAGGGAGGGGAGCATCACAGACTGGGGTCTTTTGGGAGGAAATAGGGGAGGGACAGCAGGGGTGAGGAGTTGGAGAGAGATAGCATGGGGAGAAATGCCAGATGTAGGTGAAGGGGAGGAAGGCATCAAATCACGCTGCCATGTGTTTACCTATGCAACAATCTTGCATGTTCTTCACATGTACCCCAAATCCTAAAATGCAATAAAAAAAAAGAAAAATATCCCTAAAAATGTCAATAGTCTATAAAATGGTTATTCTACTTTTAGAATTTATTCTACAGAAAAAGGAATATAATTATTTATTAATTCTTGTACTGAGCAAATATTGAGCATCTGCTGCGTGTTAAGCAACTTGGTGGTCACTGAATATATATGTTTGAGCAAAGTCAAGCACAGTCCATGCTTTCAGGACACTTATTGTCTAGTAGGGGAATTAAGAATTAACCAAATGATTGCAAATGGATGCATAACTACAAAAAAGAAAAAAAAAAGCAAAGTATTATGAAGTTAAGGAAGGCAGTATTATGAGATGCATCCTTACTTTATTTTTGGAATGAAGTCTCACTCTGTTGCCCAGGCTAAAGTGCAGAGGCCCAATCTCATCTCACTGCAACCTTTGCCTCCCAGGTTCAAGTGAATCTCCCACCTCAGCTTCCTGAGTAGCTGGAATTACAGTCACCGCCACCATGCCCAGCTAATATTTGCAGTTTTAGTAGAGACAGGTTTTCACTATGTTGGCCAGGCTGGTCTTGAAATCCTGACCTCAGGAGAGCCGCCCACCTTGGCCTCCCAAAGTACTGGGATTACATGCATGAGCCACTGTGCCTGGCCTCCTCACTTCTTTTCAGTATTATTGCCCTTAAGAAAGTAACATTTCCACTGATATTTAAAAAACAAAATTGAAGTGAACCAGGCAAAGAGTGTTTGGAAAAGGAAACAGCACATATAAGACTTAGGATTGGCAAAGACACAGTCTGTTCAAGAAATTGAAATATGATTTACATTATACGGTAGAGAAGCAGAGGACCAGGGGAAGAAGATGAGGATGGAATGATAAGCACAGTGGAACCCTGGCAAACCATTTTATGGATATTGATACTCTCCAAAAATGATAGAGATCTAGTGAACAGACTTAGCAGTGAGTAACAGAATTTGACTTGTCTTTTGAAAATGTCCCTCCAGCTGTAGCATAAAAAATAGAGTAGAGAGAGTCAAGAAAAGATTGTAGAAAACTAGTTAGGAGGTAGATCCTGTCCTGCCTGTAAGAGATAACTGTGGCTTATATCAAGCAGTGCAGTACAGATGGGGAGAAATTAATGAACTCAAGTGATATATGTGAAATCTTTAGAACATACAATATGTTGGATATAGTAAGGGAGGGAGATAGTTTTTTTTTTTTTTTTTTTTTTTTTTTCTTTTGAGATGGAGTTTCACTCTTGTTGTCCAGGCTGGAGTGCCATGGCACCATCTCAGCTCACTGCAACCTCTGTCTCCCGAGTTCAAGCCATTCTCCTGCCTCAACTTCCCAAGCAGCTGAGATTACAGGCATGTGCCACCATGCCTGGCTAGGCTAATTTTGTATTTTTAGTAGAGATGGGGTTTCTTCATGTTGGTAAGACTGGTCTCGAACTCCTGACCTCAGGTGATCCACCTGCCTCAGCCTCCCAAAGTGCTGAGATTATAGGCATGAGCCACCGCACCTGGCCAAGAGATTCTTTAAGAGGGACTCCAAGGCTTGCTGAAATAATGAAAAGAAAGATAATACCAATCAGAAAAATGGGAGAATTATGGCTGATAGTAGAATTTTAGTACACTGTTTGGGATGGAAGATCCCAAAGTGATCCCAAAGAGGTAATTTTTGTAGTTGATGTAGAGGAGTTCCTTGTGAGACTTCTAAGCGACTATATTGCTAGGTCACTTAGTATGTAGGGTTACACGTCAGAGAGCAGATCCAGAGTGGAGATATAAATATATGTTTCCTGGATTTTTAATAATTATTGAAGTTATAAACATGAGTGGGATTTTCTTGAAAATAAAAAGGGTCTTCAGAAGATCTATGGAAAATGTATATGTTTAAAAAACTGCATGAATTAAAAAATATTTGCACAAAATAAACTTGTACTAACTTGCTATATCTAAACAGGATCAAATTAGAGGCACTAAGAAAGATAAGACATTAATTTTCAAAGAGCTCGTATCTGAGCTACATGAATTCTGCTAAGTTTGAAGCAACAAACATCAAATGTATGGTAAAACTTGGTTGAAAGAACGGTGAAATCATTGATGCTTTTCTTTCTTTTTTAAAATTATACTTTAAGTTTTGGGGTACATGTGCAGATCATGCAGGTTTGTTACATAAGTATACACATGTCATGGTGGTTTGCTGTGTTCATCCCTGTCACCTATATTAGGTGTTTCGCCTAATGTTATCCCTCCCCAATCTCACCATCCTGTGCTGTCCCTCCCCCAGCCCTCCCTCCTGCCGCCAGGCCCCAGTGTGTGATATTTCCCTCCTTGTGTCCATGTG